AAACCAGACTCCCTGCTACAGTTAGGAGCCACAGATCTGGAAAGGCAACACTTTAAAGGAGATATCTAGGGGCGACCGTGGCTCAAGGGATTTGGCGACTCAGGTGGCAACGCACACTGTGTTAATAATAACTTAACCTGACAACGACTAAATGCTAACTCTTCCCTGTAAAATGTGGACATTTAAAACAGCAAAGTAAATAAACAGCAGGTGGTTACTCTATAAATCAAAGATGAACATTTATCTTTTTATAAAGTTCCACGACACAGCCCGGTCTGGGACATGAAAGCTGCTCATTCTAACCAGCATTCATTCAGAGAAAAATTAATGAATATTATCAATAAGAAATTTCAAGCTGGAAGGATTATATTCAGCCCAGAGACAGTCCACCATGAAGACTTGTTCACAGTCCAAGCTGATGATGGATCAGTTTGATTTGTGTTGAGGTCATGTGTGAACATGACAGTGAACATGTTACCTCAGGTGACACATTCAGTGCAGGGCTGTGTGCATCACAGGCAAAAGGAGACTGTGACCTTTCTATTGATGTATGATTTCAGATTTTGAACTCAGCACAACACTGTGAAACTTCATGTTTCCCATTTATTTTTTTATCTGTTAGTCATCAAGTACAAACTACAGACGAATACGAAACAGGAAAGGTCACTTAGCAATTGGCAGCTAGTAATAGAAATAAAGCCAGAGTAATTATCTGCTAACTAATAATTTCCCTTTTAAAATGTATGAACTTTGTAAATCTTGTAAAAAAACAAAAACAAAAAGAAAACAGGAGACTGAATGCCTCCTCTAATGTCTGCTGTAACCACTTTTACTGCATATTTTTAAAATGGCCACAAAAACTTGTGACCATCTTCACTGTAAAAAACAGGTTTGTATATTAAATCTAAAATAATATAACTAGGGATGGGTACCGGTATCCGGTGCCATCCCTAGTTATATTATACAGAGGAGTTCATGTTCTTTTAGAGCAGAGCTACAGATTAAAAATGCCCAAGGCGAAGCGGTCAAAGTCTGGCTGTAATTCACAGCAAAAGATGCAAACTCAGCAGC